AAAGTAGGAGGAATTACGTTACCAGACCTCAGGCTATATACTATAAGTCGATAGTGATCAGAACCACATGGTACTGGCACAAAAACAGAGAGGTAGATGTATGGAACAGAATAGAGAGCCAAGACATGAATCCAGCCACCTACTGTTATCTGATCTTTGACAAGCCAATTAAAAATACTGAGTGGGGAAAAGATTGTCTATTTAACAAATGGTGCTGGACTAACTGGTTGGCGACCTGTAGAAGACTGAAACTAGACCCACACCTTTCACCATTAACTAAGATAGACTCTCACTGGATTAAATATTTAAACTTAAGACATGAAACTATGAAAATACTATAAGAAGCTGTAGGGAAAACACTTGAAGAAATCAGCTTGGGCAAAAATTTTATGAGGAGGACCCCTCTGGCAACTGAAGCAATGTCAAAAATACACTTTTGGGACCTGATCAAACTTAAAAGTTTCTGCACAGCCAAAAACACAGTAAATAAAGCGGGTAGACAGTCCTCAGAATGGGAGAAGATATTTGCTGGTTATGCTCCAACAAAGGCTTAATAACCAGAATCCACAGAGAACAAACGTATTAGCAAGAAAAAAAAACAAGTGATTCCATCTCAGGGTGGGCAAGGGACTTGAAGAGAAATTTCTCTAAAGAAGATAGGTGTATAGACTGTAGATATATGAAAAAATGCTCACCATCCTTAATCATCAGAGAAATGCAATCAAAACTACTTTGAGGTACCACCTAACCCCAGTTAAGATTAGCCCCTATCACAAAATCCCATAACCAGAGATGCTGGCGTGGATGTGGAGAAAAGGGAACACTCCTGCACTGCTGGTGGGAATGCAAACTAATACGTTCCTTTTGGAAAGACGTCTGGAGAACACTTAGAGAACTAAGAATAGATCTGCCATTTGATCCTGCAATTCCTTTATTAGGTATATATCCACAAGACCCAAAACCACATTACAACAAAGATATTTGTATCAGAATGTTTATTGCAGCCCAATTCATAATTGCCAGGTCATGGAAGAAGCCCAAGTGCCCATCAATCCAC